TGGCGTGAGCAATTTCTAAACAAACTAGGCCTGTCTCTGGGGGGCGGGTATTTGACTATGTGTTATCTAATGAATCTGTTTAACTACTAAAAAAATAAAAAATACTTTCTCCCTTTCAGAACCTTTTGCCAACAACCACACCTCAGGAAGCTCAGCAGTGGTTGCATCGAAACCGGTTTTCTACTTTTACAAGGCTTTTTACCAACTTCTCAGGTTAAATTTGCTTTTATTTTTGCCTTCCCTTCCATGGGATATTCCTTTGCATTCTAGGGCCTCCTGGTATCCATGTGATATATGGATGTATTTTGTGTGTGTGCGTGTGTATATAAAAGTGCATCACCAGCTACAATTGTATTATAAGATATTAAAAGCACCTCTTAGTTTGAACTCACTTTAATTTAAAAATTCCATGGAACACATTTTTTTTTAATTTTATTATTCATATGTGCATACAAGGCTTGGGTTCTTTCTCCCCCCTGCCCCCACCCCCCTCCCTTACCACCACTCACCCCCCCCTCAATACCCAGCAGAAACTATTTTGCCCTTATTTCTAATTTTGTTGTAGGAGAGTATAAGCAATAATAGAAGGAACAAGGGTTTTGCTGGTTGATAAAGATAGCTACAGGGCATTGACTCACATTGATTTCCTGTGCGTGTGTACCTTCTAGGTTAATCTTTTTGATCTCAACCTTTTCTCTAGTTCCTGGTCCCCTTTTCCTATTGGCCTCAGTTGCTTTTAAGGTATCTGCTTTAGTTTCTCTGCGTTAAGGGCAACAAATGCTAGCTATTTTTAGGGTGTCTTACCTATCCTCACCCCTCCTGTGTGCTCTGCTTTTATCATGCTCAAGTCAATCCCCTTGTTGTGTTGCCCTTGATCTAATGTCCACATATGGGAAACATATGATTTTTGGTCTTTTGGAGCCAGGCTAACCTCACTCAGAATGATGTTCTCCAATTCCATCCATTTACCAGCGAATGATAACATTTCGTTCTTCTTCATGGCTGCATAAATTCCATTTGTATAGATACCACATTTTCTTAATCCATTCGTCAGTGGGGCATCTTGACTGTTTCCATAACTTGGCTATTGTGAATAGTGCAATAAACATGGTGTGCAGGGCCTCTGGAGTAACCTGTGTCACAGTCTTTTGGGTATACCCCAAGAGTGGTATTGCTGATCAAATGGTAGATCAATGTCTAGCTTTAAGTAGCCTCCAAATTTTTTTCCAGAGTGGTTGTACTAGTTACATTCCCACCAACAGTGTAGAGGGTTCCTTTTCCCCCATCCTCGCCAAACCTGTGTGGGTGGTGTTTGCTAATGATGGCTTATTCTAACAGGGGTGAGGTGGAATCTTAGTGGTTTAATTTGCATTCCTTTATTGCTAGAGATGGTAGCATTTTTTCATGTGTTTCATTTGAATTTCTTCTTTGAGAAATTCTGTTTAGTTCACGCCCTTTCTTTATTGTTCATTAGTTTGGGAGAATTTAGTTTTTAAGTTCCCTATATTCTGGTATCAGTCTTTGTCTTGTATTGGCAAATATTTTCTCCCACTCTGTGTGTCTCTCAGTTTAGAACCATTTCTTTTGGATGAACAGAAGCAGTTTTTAGCTTTATAGTCCCATTTATCTGGTTATCTCTTAGTTGCCTGTGCTGCTGGTTCCATTGAGAAAGCTTACGGTATACCTACTAAGTCCAGAGTATTTCCCCTACTCTTATCTGTATACAACTTATAGAGTTTGGGTCTGATATTAAAGATCCTATGATCCATTTTGA